TATGTACATCGCATAGAATCACGGAGCATATGGCGCTACTTCAAGAATTGTTATCGAATCACAATACAGTTACGTCCAAACAATGGAGTCCTCAATTGTAAGTAAAATTACGCTGATCAAACTTTTCCTCAACTGATTCTGTAGCTAATATTTGAATAGAGATCAATGCTCATGCTTTAGCAGAAAAAGTCATAAACAGTTCTACTTTTACATCTCACACAAGACGATATCCACAGCAAACTATTTTTTTAATAAAACTACGTTTTCAGGCAGTTTGTTACAGAAGCTATTTGGATTTTTTCCTAATTTAGCTACCTAAACGACTACACGAAAACAAAACTATGTTTAGGGTCATTGGATGAATGATGAAGAAGGATATCGTCAATGTATTACCTCAGCTAAACAACGATTAGCAACTATGATGCATATTAAAAATGCATCCGATATCGTATTAGTTGACAATGCAAGCGAAGGAATCAACGCTCTCATAAGAATTTGGACCCACCATTAGGACCCTCAGATTACATCTTAGATTTGTCTATTGCGTATGCTCCTTTCCAAGGTTTGTACCAATGGTTAGGCTCACGTTATGGTGTACAAGTATTACAAGTGCCGATCCAATGGTCAGTAACGGGTCCTGAGTCTTATTGTGCCAATAACAGCAGCACTGAAAGCAAATGCATCCACATTAAATATACGCATTGCAATCATTAGTCATGTTTCTGCATATCCAGTAGTGATATTACCAGTGAATGAATTAGTGAAATTATTTCATGAATATAAGATACCCGTCATCGTTGACGGGGCACATTGTATTGGAAATATTAATGTTAATATCGAAAAAATGTCAAATGTTGATTATTATTTTACAAATACACATAAATGGCTATTTTCAAGTAAAAGTAGTGGCTTGTTGTATATACGACATGATCATCAACAATTGTATGTACCGGCATCTGCTGTTGTCGATCAAGCGATGACTGATGATTTTGAGTCAAGATTTATATGGACAGGTACACGTGATAGAACATCATTTTGTGCTATTTTAACAGCATTAGATTATCGAGAATCATTAGGAGGTGAAGAACGTATTATGAGTTATAATCGTGCGTTGGCACGTTATGGAGGTCATTATTTATCACGTCTATGGGATACACAAGTATTAGCACCCGATAGTATGCAATCAGCAATGACCAATATACAAGTGCCTACAAACAATTTTACAGCATGTCAAACTGTGGCTGGGCAATTGTATAACACATATAACACCATGGTGAGCGGAGCAAGTAATATTAGTCCAACGTTTGGTAATATTGCCTGTTATTATCGACTATCAGCACAAATTTATCAAGATAAAAGTGATTGGCAAACATTAGGCGCATTGATCGTACAATTATTAAAAGCATTAAATGCTTATGCGCCTGGTCCAAAAGCATTACAACTGTGATTTTTCTTGTGCAATAAAATATTTTAAAAGGAGACGTTTCGTAACTACACCAAGACTCTACCTTCAGTAGAGAAAAATTATGTTCAAAGTGTGCCAATAAAATTCAGGATAATTAAGATCAGCTAAGACCGTCTTTCAACGATGAATAATTTTTTTTTATTGAATCAGTGCTGATAAACGAAAGAGTCAGTATGGTTTTGCTCGACTTGGAACTCCTGGTTTTTTGTGTAGAATTTGATTCTGAATGAATCTGCTTTAACATAGAAAAGCTGTGTCAGCATGTTTATTATGGATGTGCCGATCAGGTTAGTTGTTTGGTAATCGCATAGCTTCTAGAATATTGTCTTCGGCTATAAATATTTAGATTATTTGAGATGAACTTTTAAACGAAGCAGCACCAAGGAGCTCTCATAACAATTTGTAGAAGCCTAAAGTCAAAAGTGAATCTACGGATAAACAGCAGCCATAACACTCACTCACTCACAACGGGTACTAGTGCTCTTTTTACGCCATCAAGCGAGAAAACATGGAACCGCATTGGATAGAAAATGAAACTATGGAATCTGAGCAACTATAAACAGTGCCGAAAGCCACTATTCCTACAAGTACATTGATTCAAATAAATAAACTTAAAAAATGCCATGACAAGTTAACGGTTTGAACTTAAGGCGTTCAAACACTCTGGAATGATAGGACTAGATTAAATGAAGAATTATCACATGTGAGTAATCTAATACAGACAGTACAAAATGAATTAAATCAGATTAAGCGCTCCATCGGGCAAAAAGATACATATTTACCTGATACAGCATCAAATCAAACGACGTTAGAGCAACAATTCCTTAGTATAAAGCAAATCGTAGCTGGAATTGAATTTGTTTCTTATGATGGTATCTTTGATCTGGAAAATAAAAAATGGCACAGATTGTAATTAAATCTGAAAGACAAACATCAATTTATTCACGTCTCTTCTACTCTTCAACAACCGGTTATAGAATGAGAGCAAGGCTCAATTTACATGGAGATGGGAATGCTGGTCGTACACACATG